GGGAGGAGGGAGGCGGGAGGCGGGAGGCGGGAGGCGGGAGGCGGGAGGCGGGAGGCGGGAGGCGGGAGGCGGGAGGCGGGAGGCGGGAGGAGGGAGGGAGGAGGAGGGAGGAGGGAGGAGGGAGGAGGGAGGAGGGAGGAGGGAGGAGGGAGGAGGAGGAGACCCCGCGCGGCGCGTGGCCCTCGGGACGCCGCGCTCGTGCTGGGTGGAGCGATCCGCGCGGTGTCTGACGCCACCGCCCGGGTCGTCGCCGCACGACCCTGCCGTGCACGCGTACTCGGTGGGTGTAGCTCGATGTGTGCGCTCTGGGTCCTCAGAGCCCACTTGGCCGCGGGAGAGTGCAGTGCGGCACCGAGTGGTGGTTTGGATGTGCCGTCCTGGACGGTCGTGGAGGGTGTCAGGGTCTCACGGCCGAACGGGAGCACGTGGCTTTTCACGAGCACGCGCGTTTCTTCTTGAGTGTTGGTATCTCCGTTGGATGTTGGGACTAACCAAGCGCATAGAGCAAGTTCGATTCAGAGGGCATTATACTCGATTCGCATGCTTTCATAAACCTGTCTACCTGACCGCCATCTCAGCTCAGTCATTGCGCAGCACCGCTCACCATTGCTCTGAGTCCACTGCCCGTTCGCCACAGAGGGTGACCAGTCATTCTGATTCCTTTGTGAGGGACATGCGTCCTCCCCTCGAGAATATGTTTCCCTTGTGACACTTTGGAGGCTGGCTCGGTTCGAGAATGACCGGACCATCTCGTTCATCCCACCGGATGGCGAATTCGAGCTGATGAGCTACCGGCGGGGCACCTAGATGGGGACGCTTGGAGGGGATGAGGAGACGGAAGGAGTAGAAGAGAGAAGGGAGAGAGAGGGGGCTTGGGAGGGAGGGGGATGGGCAGAGGGGGTGGAGATCAAGCTAGGTGCCCTCGCACCACAGCTGACATCTTATTCCTCCCTCCATCCCTTCCCAATGTGCTGAATGGTTCTCTTGTCTATCCGCGGACGCGTATCATAGCTGACCTGGACCCCGAAATCATAGCGGACCCTGCATGATAATCTCTTTAGTGCTCATGATATTCGTCATCATCAAACAATGGCGATGATGCTAGGATGCCAGAAAACCTGGATGCGACATGTGGGACCTGTTCGGCCCGTGGGGGCTGTGCGACCTGCGAAGCTCGGACCCGTCGGGACAGTGGGACCCGTGAGACTACGGGACTTGCGGGCCATGTGGGGCCCGTCGGACCTGCGGACCTTCTGGGGCCGCTGGGAGCCGATGAACTTGCGGGACTTGTGATGTCGGTGGGACCTGTGCGACCTGTGCGACGTGCTCGACCTGTGAGACCCGTGGTGCCTGTGAGGCTTGTGGGGGCCCGTGCGATGTGTGCAGCCTTTTGGGCCAGAGGGGTCTGCAGCGCTTGTTGGACTTCTTCGGCCTGTGGGATCTGTGGGACACGTGTAACCTGTGCGCCCTGTGGGTCCCACGGGACTCGCGACGCCTCCGCTCGACAAGCCACTCTCCACACACTCACAGGCGAGGCCCCCGCTCGACGCGTCCTCGAGATTTGCCCTCGGGGGATGCTCACGTGACATGCCTGCTACAGTACGCCGATGACCGCCTGGGATCACTGACGCGAAGCCGGGGGCCCAGAGGGAGAGGGCTCCCGCTCGAGACTTCCTTCTTCTTTGCGCATCGTATGTGCTCACTGAGGAGGCCCCTGCGCGGAACATCCCCCTGACTCCTGGGCTCACGCCACGCTGCAGGCCCCTCCGGGGGGGAATCGGCGGCTCTCGTGCGCTGCTCCAGGGGGCCTCGTGCGCGCCTTCTGGGGGCTTCCTGGAGCTCTTCTGGGGCTTCGCAGGGGGCCCTCTCGGGGCCTCTTCGGCTGGCATTCTCAGTATTCGCCGTGCACGCATGGGGCATGGGGCGAGAACCCGCGTATACAAGCGGAGGGCATCTGTCAAAACACCCGACGAACGATTATCGAATGGCCTTCGACGCATCCCGCCACCGTGCTTGGGTTGCGGGTCTGAGGCCACTAGGATGCCTGATAGGGGTCTCATGGGGGGCGTCTCGGAGGCGTCTTGGAGGCAGTTTTGCGCAACTCTCTTGCGTTGGGTATTCGTTTTGTATAGAACACTGCCCGCGCGTCTTCTCCTTCTCCTGCCCCGCTCCTCCTTCCTTCTCTCCTGCCTCTCGCCTCGCTCCTTCCTGCGTGCCAGCTTGCCTCCTACCTGGCCATCCAGTGGGGCTGCGATCTAAGAAACTGTAGCCACTTTCGAGGGCTGCTGGGGGGTCCAGCGGAGTGACGTCTTACCCAGACCACCAGGAGACCTCGCCATCCCTGTGGGGCTGCGATCTGCGAAGCTGTCGCCACTTTCGAGGGCTGCTGGAGGGTTCCAGCGGAGTGACGTCTTACTCAGACTCAGAAAAGGCCTCGCCATTTTGAGGTGTCCAGAGGCGGCGGAGGACGAAAGGCGGAGGAGGAAAGGCGGAGGAGGAGGAGGAGGCGGAAGACGAGGAAGGGGAAGACGAGGTGGAGAAGGAAAAGGAGGCGGAGGAGGGGGCGGAGGGGGAGGAGGAGGAATCAGGGGAGGAGGTCCGGCACATGCTGCCGCGGCGGCGCCTGCGCGGTTTTTGCACTAATTATAAGCAGGTTGAACCATTTTTCGAACGCCGTGGCGACATGGCCCTTGTCACCTTCCCTCTGCTGCTGCCGCGCTGACGGTTCGGCCCCCCACGCGTCCCTTTCTTGCCCTTCGTTTCCGTCCCCATGTCCTCCTCAAGCCTGGGCCCTCGCTCCTTGTCCTGCTGTTGTCGTCTGGTGAATCGTGCCACGTGAGCGCCTCCCAAGTAGTTTGCACAATATATAACGGCGCATACACTGTCATTGTCCTGGCAAGTGCGGGTCAGCTCCTCTCGTCATTTGATGCAAATGCGTTGGGTACGTCACAGGGTAACGGGCACGCGTGTGAAAACGGGCGAGAACCCACGTATGCAGACGGAGTGCATCTGTCAAACACCCGACGAATGGCCTTCGGCACATCCCGCCACCGTGCCAAGCTTGCGGGTCTGAGGCCATTCAGATGGCTGATGTGGTCTCGTGGGAGGCGTCTCGGGGGCGTCTTGGAAGCAGTTGATGAACCTCTTGGGGGCCTCCTGGGGGCCTCTTGGGGGCTTGTTGTGGCCATGTTGGGGCTCCCTGGGAGCCTGTTGGGGGCTCCTTGGGGTAACCCGAGGCGTCTTGGGGTGGATGACTCGAAATGTCCGTTCGGGTTCCCCCTCTGGGCCCCCTCTTAAAACTGTCTTACGGCCCTCCTGGGCCGTCTTGGGGGCTTTTTGGGCGGTCTTGGGGCCCTCTTGGTTGGTGGGGCCTCTTGACCCGTGTTGGGACGATCGTCAGGCCGTGTGGGACGTGGTGAACGCCCAAGAGGCGAATGTGCTATAAATGCACGTTGTCGAACGAAATGGGACGATTTTTGCTTGTGGAGGCCCTCTGGGGTTTCTTGAGGACCTTTTGGGCTTTCTGGAGACCAGCATGGGCGTTTTGGATAGATCTTTCGGCGTTTCGTGGTCCTTGTGGACCGTCCCAAGGGCCTCTTCGCCTCGTGGGGCCCTCTTGACCCCCTATTTTGGGGCCCTCTGCCCCCCCCCGGGGCGCGTTCACCCACCTCCTGGGGGACTCCCCCCCCCCCCCAAATCAACCGGACCGGGCTCCGCGGGGAGGGAGGGGCTTGGGGAGGGGCAACCATTCCACACGCCGGTGAACCTCAAGGGGTCGGCGGATTTGCTCCTTGGAGTGCTCAAGTACTCTACCTGCTACAGTAGGCCGATGACCCGCTGCGATAAAAAATGTGAAGCGGAGGCCCCATAGGGAGAGGGCTTCCGCTCGAGACTGCCTCGCTGGTCACTCACAGACATGGCCCCTGCTCGAGACATCCTCAAGATTGCGTTCTCGGGGGCTGTCGGAATGACTCCAATTTAGCGTTCGGGTTTCCCTATGGAGCCTCTCTTGGGGGCCTATTGGGAGCCTCTGGGGCCCCCTTCGGGGCTTCTTGGCCCTTCTCGGGGCTTTCTTGGGTTGTCTTGGGGCCCTCTTGGGAGTCTCGTGGGTTGTTTTGCGGCGGACTTGGGAGCCAGTTGTGCCGTCTTGGGCGGTCGGGAGCACGCGAAAATGCATAAGAAACAAACGTAAAGCAGTGTTTTCATTGCATGTGGGGGCTCTCCTGGGGGTCGTCTTGGAGCCCTCCTGAGGTCGTCTTGGGGATTTATTGGGCTGTCTTGAGAGCATCTGGGACTGTCTTGAAGCGCTCTTGGATTGTTACAGGCCTCTCTTGGATAGTCTTGAACCTGAACTGCCGAAAGAGGGCAAGCATTGCTTGAAGGCGGCCCGAAAAGGAAGGGGGAGGGACCGTACTGTGACCCGGGACCCCCCCCTATGACTCCCGCCGGGACCCCCCCCCGGCGGGCGGGGAAGGGATGAAAGGGAATGGGCTTCCCTTCGACTCACTTGCGACCTCGATTATGTACGACCTGGCTCGATTCACCTCCAGCTATCGAGCTTGGAGATCCAGCCTAGGCCTCCTAGATGGGGTCGGAGTAGATGGGGTCGGAGGATCGGGCCGCATCGCCAATGCATCGGCGATACATCAGCGATGCGGCTCGATGCGGGCCCAGTTTCTCCACGCCGATGCATCTGCTCGGACCTCATCTATCTGGAGGGGAAAACACACACAGACACACAATTAATCGTCGACCCCCCGGAAAATGTGGGAAAGTATGGGAAGTGGGCGGGAAAACAAAAACCCCGAAAATGCGAGAAAATATGGGGAAGCCTGTTATTTGTGTTTATTTATTTGTGTGTCCCAGGGCCCCTTCAATCTAGGAGGCCTCTAGGTCCAGATGTGGCCGCTGGGGGAGGCAGGAGAAGCTTCGAGTGAAAGGTGTCTCTCAGGCCCGCCCTGTCCAGAGCTCTACCTCACGCGCGCCGGCACGGCTGGCGGAATCGCCCCCTCGGTGTGCTCAAGTGGTGTGCCTGCCACAGTAGGCCGATGCTCCGAGGCGGGAATGACGGGACGCGCCCTTGGCGTGGACCGTTTGTTGGTGGTAGAAGTTAATGACGGGGTGCGGGGCGCACTTTGGAACCACGCTGGCGGATTTTTGAAAAATGGCCGCTTCGCTCGAGACATCCTCCAAACATCGGCCCAAGAGGGGATTCCGAATCGACGTCGTGTTCGAATCGCTCGTGGAGGGCTTTCCAACGGCCCAAGGGATGCCCAAAAGACGCCCCGGAGAGCCCCAGGAGCGAAGAGCGCCCCGAGGAGACCCCAAGAGACCCCCAAGAGCGCTCTAGGAGCCACCCAGACAGCTCACAAGAACCCCAAGACGGCCCGAGAAGGGCCAAGAAGGCCCCCAAAGACTCCCGGGAGCGCCCCAGGAGGCCCCCAAACGGCCCAAGAAAGCCGCAAGACGGCCCAAGATGGCGCCGAGACGGCCTAAGAAAGCTCCCACATAACCCCACGACGCGCTCAGACAGCCCAAGAAGACCCCAGAAGCCCATAAGAGGAACAAGGGGCTCCCAAGAAGCCCCCGACAGGCCTCAAGACAACCCCGCGCGGCGCCAGGAGCAACGTCTTTCTCCAATTGCCTCTTACTGTCCCCTGTCGTAGTTCGTAGTCATCTCCGCATTCCTCCTCGTACTCGCCCTCGTTCTCTTCGTCCTCGTCCTTGTGTTTCTCTTCCTCCTCGTTGTCCTCATGCTCCTCCTCGCTATCCTCACGTTCGCCACGTCGTCCTCGTCATCGACTCCTCGTTGTCCTCGCCTTCCTTTCCTTCTTCGCCCAATACGCCCACTAGACTACAGCGGCGCTTCCCGTTCTTGTCCGATCAGGTTTATACATGACCACCGCCTGGAGGGTCAGTTTTCGGAGCCTCGGCAGGCGGTGGATATTGATATATTCGGGCCACCGGGGCCGAAATATTCCCATATCCACCGCCCGCTGGGGCACCAGGACGTCGGCCCCCAGGCGGTGGGTATGGATAAATCCCCGCCTCGCAGATGAAAAATGAAATAGAATATTGAGTGACGTAGACTGTCGGATGATGTGAACTCACACGCAGAGGATCACATAAGCAGCGCCGCGCGTGGTCTCCGTCCTGGTGGAAGAGGCGCAGCATCCGTAAGGGTAGCTGGGATGGAAACGCATGAGGTGGGGCAGCCCTCTCGGGACTTCCTCGCTATTATAGAGGCCTTACGACGACGACGACGACGACGACGACGACGACGACGACGACGACGACGACGACGACGACCACGACGACGACGACGACGACGACGACGACGACGACGACGACGACGACGACGACGACGACGACGACGACGACTCTCGGGGGCCTCTTGGGGGTAGTTTTGGGGCCTCTTGGGAGGCTCTTGGGGGTCTCTTGGGGGCCTCGTGGGGGCCTCTTGGGGCTTCCTGTGGGTCTTCCTTCGGTGGTGCTCCCGAGGGGGCCACGAGACGTGTGAGGGGGTTGCCGAATGGAGCGCGGGTGTGCTATGCGGAAGCTGCCGCAGGGGCCTTGGGTGACTTCTAGATGGGGGCCCTATGGGGCCACGAAAACGTGTGAAGGGACGTGCCGGATCGGGTGCGCGGGTAGGCCGTGCGGACGCTGCCGCGGGGGCCTTCGGTGGAGCTCCATGTGGGGCACTTGTGGGGCTACGAAGCGTGCGACGGGTGTGCCGGATCGGGTGCGGGTACGCCGTGCGGACGCTGCCGCTGGGGCCTTCGGTGGAGCTCCATCTGGGGTCACGCAACGTGCGAGGGGTTTGCCGAGTTGGAAGCAGGTGCGCCATGCGGACGCTGCCGCTGGGACCTCCGGTGGAGCTCCCTTTGGAGCCACGGAGCGTGTGAGTGGTGTGCCGAAACGGAGACATGCGGAGGGCAGAGGCAGGGATGGCAGGGATGGGAGGAGGCGGAGGAGGAGGAAGGAGGAGGAGGAGGAGGAGGAGGAGGAGGAGGAGGAGGAGGAGGAGGAGGAGAAAGGGGGAAGGAGGCGGAGGAGGAGGAATGAGTGACGCGGGGCGCTGCCTCTTCAAAACGAGGACCCAGTACAACAGGATGGCTGGGTTTTCAATATTCGCCCAAAGTGCGTGCATTTATGGACTTTTGCTTCTTTGTCACAAGGAGCTGGTCCCGTCTGGCGGACCGGCCGCTATGTCGTCGCCGTCGCCGCTCTGTCGCCGCCTCGTTGCCGCCAAGTCGCCTGGGCCTGTCTGGCGGTCTGGCGGCTGTGTCGTCGCATCGCCACCGTCCGTCGTCGCCTCGTTGCCGCCCATGGTCTGGGCCTGCGCGTCGCCTCCGCCGCCTTGTGGTTGCCGTCGCTGCCCCGTCGCCGGCGCCGCCCCGTCGCCGCGCCGTCGCCGTCCGCAGCCTCGTCGCCGCAATGCTTCGGAATGGTTCGCATTGCTCTGCATTACTCTGCATTGCATCACTGTGCTTTGCGTCGCTTGCTCTGAATTGCTTGCCATTTATTTGCATTGCGTTGATTTGCATTGCTTTACATTGCATCGCATAGCTTTGCATTGTGTTGCATTGCGGTTGCATCGGTTTGCAACTCCCTGCATCGCACTGGTTTGCCATTGCTTTGAACTGTAATCCCATTGCTCTGCATTGCATCACGGTGCAAGCTGGTAGGGGTATCTCGGCGACAAGCGAGGGGGGGGGAGGACGATGAAGAGTGGAGGGTGTAGGATGGGCGGGAGGGCGCTGGTGTAAGCTGGTGCTCGCCGCCCTGGTGCTCCTCCTGCGGCTCTTCGCCCTGGCGCCAGCCCCAAGCCTGTTCAGTCGGGCGTGACGCGCTGATCCTGCGAGCGCCTGCGGCCGCCTTTGCTTGCAACGGCATTGAAGCCCAGGGCTTTGCAAAGCGCCCCCGTGTGCCATGATCGGCGACCGCGCGCAGGGCATTGGCATGGACGACGACGGGGACTTCGTCGACGGCGTTGTCGAGTCCGCCATGCGCAGTCTTTTCCCCCGGCTGCAGGCCGATTATCAGAGGGAGCTCCGCAGCGCTCTCCACATGGCGATCCGCCAGTCGCGAGGCCAGCCACTGGCGACCCCCAGTCCTGAGCGCAGGCCCACGGCGCCCTCGCAGCCCAATCCCGTGGCACCGCCGGCTCCGACGGTGGCGAGAGCCCTGGGGCAGAAGGCACAGGCCTTGAGGAAGGTGGGGGCCGTCCAGGAAGCGGCAGCCACGCCTGGAAGTGTGACGGCTCCACCTGGCAGTGCCCCGCGGCTCTTTCCGATTGTGGAAGGCGGCCCGCCCCAGGACGACCTCGACCAACATTTGCCAGGGAGGGTCACCCTCGAGCAGCACTCGCAGCGGACCACTGACTGGCAAGCTTCCGACGGCAACCCTGCAGACGAGTTCGAGTATTACCTTCCCGGCGAGACCGTGACGGACGTTAGCGACGCGGGCGTTGGGTTTGCATTGCCCACCACCGCAGTTTCACTCCCCTCTGGCTCCAGGGCTGCGACAGTCACCTCGCGCTCATTCTCACCCAAATCAAGCACCTCACCCAGGAAGCACAGGAGGACATCGTTCAGTCTGTTGGCAGACGAAGATGTCGAGATCATTAAGCGCATCAACAAATCCGAAAAGGAGAAACTCATAAGTCCCGAGGCGAAATGTAATCCAGACTGGGTTTTCCATCAGAAGAAAAGCAACGCAACGACGGCATCAAAGAAGCGAGCATTTGACATCGTTACTTCTCGTAGTTTCGACTACTTCATGGGTCTTGAATTCCCTCTCCATCGGTGTGGAGACATCGCAAACAGTCCATGGCGATGACATCCCCGCGAGCATGGTTGTCATCGAGTATTTCTTTCTAGTCATCTACGTTGTCGAGCTAACCTTGCGCTTCCACGCTGTCGGAATGAAGGAGTCGTTATCAAGCAATTGGGTAAAATTTGACACCTCGCTCGTAGTATCTGGCTTGGCGAGCTCGGCGCTCACAGTGGTCTCAATCGGTGGCGGGGCGTTGGAAATGATGGTGGGCAACATGAATATACTCAAGATGCTTCGTCTCGTTCGCCTTGCTAGGACAGTGCGGGTGGTGATACAGTTTCGCACTCTGTGGCTACTCGTGCAAGGTCTCCTGCATTCCCTCTTGCCTATGGTCTGGACGTGTATAATCATGATGATTGTTGTCTACATCTTCGCTATAATTGGCATGGAGACGATCATCGGAAGCAGCGACGAGGACCTCTCGTTGGAGGCCCAAGAGAATTTTCGATCGATACAGAGTTCCATGTTGACGTTCATGCAGATGATGTCACTTGACAGCACGGCCCCAATATACAGACCATTGATAGAGGCAAATGGGTTGCTCAGCATCTTGTTCCTAGCATTCTACATGGTTGGCCCGATTGCGCTTATGAGTATAATTACCGCGATCATGGTGGAATCGTCGATCCGCACTGCCAACGATGACCAAGAGGCGAAGAAGACGTGGGAGGCAGACAGGAAGAGGTCAATGATGCCGAAACTGAAAAAGCTTCTCGCGACTTTGGACGCTGATGGTAGCGGTGATGTCGTACTGGATGAGCTGCTGGAGGCACCTAGGGAGCTGCAGGACCAAATCACACACATTTGTGACTTGCCGACGCTCGCGCTAGAGGAGGTCTTTCGCATGCTGGACGTCGATGGCAGTGGCTCGCTGGACATCGAAGAGTTTGTCCACGGAATCGTGCACTCGCAGCAGCCAGACAAGCCGTCGGAATTGTTGCTGCTTGTGCAGATGAGCAAGGCGATACTCAGCGCCCTGGACGGTCTCAGCGACGATATCCATGGACGGAATAATGATATGATGGGTGGCAGAGGCAGAACTGGTGTTGCCCCTTCCTCTCTGTTGTACCGAATGACGCTGCTGGGGATGTCGTAGTCGTCTGGCCAGTGTCGACGGGCACTTGTTCAATCCGAGGGGCTCCAAAGAATAAGCGTTGAGTTTCGCAGATGGTCGTAGTTTCTTTTGCAGGAGCATCAGCAGCAGGTGCGGCAGCATTAGCGCACAGCTCAGTACAATTCCTAGGAAAGAGCGTGTTCTACCGCTGCTGGTGGAAGTCCGGGGGGGTCGCTGGGGGTTCCCAACCCGTCCCCCCCCCCTCCCCCCCTCGAAAAACGGGGGGGGGTCACTACCGGTTCGAAGCCCTCCCCCCCCCAGTCCATCATGAAAAGGGGGGGTCACTACAGATTCGACCCCCCCCCTCGAAAACCGAGGGGGGGTCACTACCGGTTCGAACCCCCCCCCCCCTCGCCGCCGGCAAACGATTCGCGCTCCTCGGGACAGTTGGACAATGGTGGGGATGCTGGGACAGTGGTGGGAACGGTGGTGGTGGGGACAGTGGTGCGGGAACAGTGGGACAGTGGTGCGGACAGTGGTGGGGACGGTGGTGGTGGGGGCAGTGGTGAGGAGACAGCGGGACAGTGGTGGGGACAGTGGGACAGTGGTGGGGACGGTAGTGGTGGGGACAGTGGTGAAGGCGGTGGTGAGGACAGTGGTGGGACAGTCTTAGTACAGTGGGGAAAGTGGTGGGGACACTGGGGACAGTGGGACAGTGATGAGGACAGTGGGGACGGTGGGACAGCACAGTGGGACAGCGGCGGGGACAGTGGGACAGTGGTGGGCACAGTGGGGACAGTGGGACAATGGTGGGGACCGTGGGAAGTGGGGAGAGCGGGACCGTGGCGGGACAATGGTGGGGAGAGTGGGGACAGTGAGACACTGGTAGGGGCACTGGTGGGGACAGCGGGGACAATGGTGGGAACAGTGGGGACAGTGGGACAGTGGTGGGGACGGAAGGGGTGGGTACAGTGGTGTGCGGACAGTGGGAATGTGGTGGAAACAGTGGGACAGTGGAGCGTACAGTGGTGGTGGGGACAGTGGTGAGGGCGGTGGCGAGGACGGCGGTGGGACAATGGGACAGAGGTACAGTGGGGACAGTGGTGGGGACAGTGGTGGGAACTGTGGGACAGCTCAGTGGGACAGCGGCGGGGACAGTGGTACAGTGGGACAGTGGGACAGTGGGACAGTGGTTGGGGCCGTGGGGAAAGTGGGGAGAGTGGGACCGTGGTGGGAACAGTGGTGGGGACAGTGGGGACAGTGCGACAGTGGTGGGGGCACTGGTGGGGACAGTGGGGACGGTGGTGGGAACAGTGGGGACAGTGGTGGTGAGGACAGTGGTGCTGGGGACAGCAGTGGGGGATGTGGTGCGGACGGTGGTAGGGACCCAGGGAGTCGTTTGCTGGCGGTGAGCGTGGTGGGGGGGGGAGGGGTTCGAACCGGTAGTGACCCCCCCAGGTTTTCTGGAGGGGGGGGTTCGAACCGGTAGTGACCCCCCCCCGGTTTTCTGGAGGGGGGGGGGAGGGGTTCGAACCGGTAGTGACCCCCCCCCCCGGTTTCTGGAGGGGGGGGGGTGGTCGAACCAGTAGTGACCCCCCCTGGTTTTCGGGAGAGGGGCGGGAGGGTGGTTTAGGGGACGGGGGTGGGTTTGCCGGGGGGAAGGGGGGGGGGGTTCCAGCAGGGGGGGGGGGGATTTTCGGAGGGTGGGTGGGTGGACCCCCGGGTTCCGGAGGAAGAGGGAGGGGAATTTTCCACATTAAAGCGGCGGTGGATCACACTCTCTCATTCCTCGGGTCATCGAGTTTTTGAAGATGCCTTCGTCGACCTGGGGAGAGGCTCCATCGCATTTTTCACAGGATGTGGCTTCACCCTCCTGTACTTTCCTTCTGGTCTGTCTACGTTCCCATCACCCCTAGAGCGATTTTTGTCTACGCTCCGCCCTGCATGCACATAGTGGGCGAGACTGACCAGACAAGTGAAGCAGTTGGCGAGTGCGTCTGCTGCACGTGGCTGCAGTGCGCATGCACGGAGTCGACCTCAGCTTTGAGCCTTGATGCCTTGTGACATCCTCCTCTCTCTCGACATCCCCCTTGATGTCCCCGCCAGCTGCGGGACATGCCTTGAGGCGATTGAAACACATTATCTCGCCATCATGCGCTATACGCACTATCTTGTTTATAATCTCACAACGGGTGCCTTAAGCCTACATGCTGGCCTTGGGATCCTTTGAGCGCCAATGCTGAAGGCGCTTTTGTGTCGCACCGACTTGAACGTTGTGTCTATGGCCGTGTCTCTGCGACAGTGGTTGAGATCTCAAGCTGCTATGCCACCTTGACCTGCCGCGCGTCTGGGATGAACTTCCTCCTCAGGTGCCGCTCCTCCGCCCTGCCTTATCCTCCTCCTTCCTGCTTCATCCTCGCTCCTCCCCTCCCTCCCCCTCTCTTCACCCCCTCCTTCTCCTCCTCCTCCTCCTCGCTCTTCCTCTCTGCCCCATCCTCGTTCCTCCTCTTCCCTTCAGGCAGGTCGAATGCGTGTGCATGCCCGCTCTTGTCGCGCGTTTTGTCTCCCCTCGTTCCAGCATGTGCGATCCTGGGATGCTCTTTAGGGACCGTGCACGCTGTAAATGTGATCCTCGCCATCGTTGTCGTCATCATCGCCACCGCCAATTACCACATCATCTTAGCTGTCTGTCTGTCTGACCGTCGGGTTGTTTGTATGTGTGCCCGCTCGTCTGCGCGTCCGCGTTGGTCTGCGGCCAGCGGCCTGGCTGCAAGTTGAACATTGTGTGAAGGTGCCAAGAGACCTACCGTTCGTTGCCTCCTTCCAATTTGGCCGATCAGTCCTCGCAGCAGAGCTCGCAGAAACATGCCGGAGCACAAGTCCAGACGGTTCCCAGCTCCTGGGGTCGTCTTCGCTTGGTCCTCTTGGTGGCCGTTGGGGCCGTCCTCGGTTGGTCTTGGGACCGTCGCGGACGCTCTGAAGACATGGGAAGGGCGATAATTCAAACTCGCTTGACGTCAAACCTAAGGTTTCTTTCAACATCCGTCGTGCAGTCGATGGATGTGGAGGAATTAACTGTTGTTCGCATTGAGTTGTTCACTCCTCTGCTAGCGCAATCATCTCACTCACCCACCCGCAACTTGGTTTGCAAAGCCCATGCGGCGGCGATTGCGATGAGTGTTTGGCATTGGCTGGTGCATCTCTGCGGCCGCGCTAGCCCGCGCATGCTCGCGCGCGCAACGGCCAGATATTCTGGCGCTACCGACACGGCCGCGGTGGCGGTGACCGCTGGGCACTTCCGGGCGGGCACTTCAGTGCGAATAGGCGACTTGGGTGGTCCAGCAGAGTGACGTCTTACCCAGACCACCAAGAGACCTCGCCATCCCTGTGAGGCTGCAATCTGCGAAGTTGTCGCCACTTTCGAGGGCTGCTGGGGGGGTCCGGCGCAGTGACGTCTTACCCGGACCACCAGGAGACCTCGCCATCCTTGTGGGGCTGCGATCTGCGAAGCTGTCGCCACTTTCGAGGGCTGCTTGGGGGGGTCCAGCGGAGTGACGTCTTACCCAGACCACCAGGAGACCTCGCCATCCCTGTGGGGCTGCGATCTGCGAAGCTGCCGCCACTGTCGAGGGCTGCTGGGGGGTCCGGCGGAGTGACGTCTTACCCAGACCACCAAGAGACCTCGCCATCCGTGTGGGGCTGCGATCTGCGAAGCGGTCGCCACTTTCGAGGGCTGCTGGGGGGGTCTGGTGGAGTGACGTCTTACCCAGACCACCAGGAGACCTCGCCATCCTTGTGGGGCTGCGATCTGCGAAGCTGTCGCCACTTTCGAGGGCTGGGGCGGGGGGTCCGGCGGAGTGACGTCTTACCCAGACCACCAAGAGACCTCGCCATCCGTGTGGGGCTGCGATCTGCGAAGCTGTCGTCACTTTCGAGGGCTGCTGGGGGG